CGAAAGGGTCTAGCACGACAGACACCCCTGCGATGAATCCACAGGGGGCGGCGGATCGAATGGCTTTCGGCCCATCCCGCCACCGTGCCTGAGTTGCGGGTATAAAGCGTATTGGATGTTCGTTGGGATCTCGTGGGGGGCCTCTCGGGGCCCTCTTGGAGGCAGTTTTGAGGCCTCTTGGGGGCCGTTTTGAGGCCTCCTGTGGCCTCTTTTGGACCTATTGGGGGCCTCTTGGGCGCCTCTTTTGGAGCCTCCTGGGGGCATCTTGGGGCGGAAGGCTCGGATTTTCGGTTCGTGTTTCTTCTCTTGGGCCCGTTTGGGGCCGTCTTGGGGCTCTGTTGGGCCGACTTGGGCGCCAGTTGAGCCGTCTTGGGGCGCTCTTAGGCCGTCTTGGGGCCGTCTTGGAGGCCCCTTGAGCCGTCTTGGGGGCCTCAATCCTGCCAAAACCGCCGGAAAATTAATGATGTTTGCCTCTTGGGGCCCTCTTGAGAGGCCTCTTGGAGGCCTCTTGGGCCATCTTGAGGCCATCTTGGGCGTCTTGGAGCGACCTTGGGGCGACGTGGGGCCCTCTTTCACAGTTTTGGGTACCTCTTGGAGCCATCTGGGCTCGTTTGGGGGCCCTCCTGGGCGGGGCAGGCCGACGCGAGCGACTCTTGCAGACCCTGGCAGAAACCAGGCAGGCCTGGGAAACGCCTGGCCCGGGCCCCGAAAGACTGGCAGGTCTGGCTGCAGCAACAGCACAGCCCCCTCAGTGCGGCATGAGCTTTGGGCCATTCCACTTCGTGCCAGAGGCACGGTGGCGGATTTCCTGATGTCACCCTCTCCCCCACACCATCATGAGGCATTCCTCACGCTTCGCGTGTTCCCACCAGCTCGTAGCACGCTCGGCGTTCGACTTGCTTCGCTTGCCAGCTAGCCAAAACGTATCCCCACCAGCCCATCCAAGAGCTGTGCCCACGCAAGTTGCCTCGCTCCGGGAAGTGGGGGAGCATGCAGAGGAACAGAGAGCTGGGGAAGCCAGTCACATCCAAGTATTGAATCAGCCTGAGCAGAACCAGGAGGAATGGCGGAGGACAAGAATGAGGCGGGAGGAGGACGAGGAGGAGGAGGAAGAGGAGAAGGAGGAGCAAGAGGAGGAGGAGGAATAAGCACAAGGAAGGAGAGAGGAAGGAGGAGGGGACGAGGAGAAGGAGGAAGGCGGAAAAGGGAAACAACATAAATATTAGTTTCACGGACCATGTTCTCACCGAGCTCCTGGTGAACCCTAGGTGGGAGGAGGAGGAGGAGGAGGAGGAGGAGGAGGAGGAGGAGGAGGAGGAGGAGGAGTAGGAAGAGGATGAGAAGGATGATGAGGAGGTGGGGAAAGAGGAGGAAGAGGGTGCGGCGCAGATTATGGTTGCCTCCTCTGGGCTCGACAAGTCTCCTCTTGGAGCCCTCTTGGGGGCGCTCTTGGTGGCTCTTGAGGCCGTCCTGGAGCCATTTTGAGAGCCTTGGGGGGCTCTGGGGCCTTCTTGAGCCCCTCTTGTGAGCCTCTGGGGCCATCTAGGAGGGCATCGACCGAAGAAGGGGGGAGCCTAATTAGCATCGCCCCGTCTGGAGCCCCAGACGTCGCCTCGTCAGGCGCTCTTGGAGCCTTCTTGGGGCCTTCTTGCGCCCCTCTTGGGTCTCTCTTGGGCCCTCTTGGAGCCAGCTTGAGGCCTCGGAGGGCAATCGGAATCGAAAAGGCGAGAAGGCAGAATTGATTGGAACCCTCAGGTGTTCGGAGGTGTTTGGCCCCTCGGGGGGCTCCTTGGGAGGCCCCCGGCCTTTCTTCTGGACCGTCTTGGAGCGGTCCTGGAGCCTCTTGGAGCATCTTGGGGGCTATCTTACAACAATATTGCGCTATATTGAGCCATCTTTGAGGTCATCCTGGACTCGCTGACGCACTTTTCCAAGCATCCTGGGCAATCATGGACTCAGGGGGGAAAGAAACACACAGACAAAATGAATCGTCGACTCCCAGGAAAATATTGGAAAATATTGGAAGTAGGGGGGAAGACGAGAACCCAGGAAACATGGATAACTATGGGGAATCATGGAATTTGTGTGTATTTATGTGTGAGTGTGTCCCTGCGCTCTTTTATGGTCGCTCTAACGTCCCTTCGCCCCCTCCCCTCGAGGCCCAGGGGGGAGGGGGTCGGAGAGGGGTCAAGCAACCCTGAAGGGTTTCTCCGAAAGGCTTAGGCGACCCCTCCTCCTCCTCCCTCCTCCTCCTCCCTCCTCCCTCCTCCTCCTCCTCCTCCACCTCCTCCACCTCCTCCCACCTCCTCCTCTTCCTCCTCCCCCGGAGGAAACCGTGCAGCTACCCCAAGCCGCGAGCCGTGTCGATCATTCCCACCCGCCCTCCCAACACATAGACAGCATCCGAGCCTGAGATCCCGATCCCACTGAGTTGTGATCGTGTTTTATGTGTTGTTTTGCCGATCGGCGCGGGCCCTCGCACCGCCCCTTCCCCCCCCCGCATGGAGTGGATCTTGGCTGTTTTTGGCGCCTGTTTCGAGCGGGTGGAGTCTCTCCCAGAGTCCGCACTCTTGCAAACCGTCGCACTAAGCAGAGGTCCGGAGCCAGACCCCCCCCCTCCCCCCCCCCTGTTCGCTCAATGCCGAAACGCCGAAAAAGAAAACGCTCACGTTCATGAGTTCCGTCGGAAGCACAGACCAGACAATAGGTATGAGGGCAAGCTCACCGCCCCTGTCAAACACCAGTACAAAGTGATCGCCGCGCCCCCGCGCATGATCCAGGCTCTGCCGCAACTTGCACTTTGTATGGGCTTGTGTCGGGGAGCGTGAGCCTGAGCAGAGCAGGCAACATGAGAGCCCCCCCCCCCCGCCAACCCCTCCTGCAAAAACCACAAAATGCTCGTGGGGCGCCCGCGCATGAACCAGCTTTTTGCCACACGGTGGATTCTGCACTGGGTGTGTTGACGCGGGTGGTGGGTCTGCGCAGAGCGGACACTGTGGGGGCACTGCCGCCGTCCCTGTCGAAACAAAGGGGCGCCGGCGCACGGTGCAGATTTTGCCGCAAAGTGTCTTGTGCATTGTGTGTTGGCAGGGATGGTACAGTCAACCCGCACAGTAAGGATGCGCAACTCTCCCAAGGGTGCCCTTGCATCCTTGCCTCCTTGCCCTCATCCTGGGCCACTTTCGTTGGCCGCGCCCTGCTCGAAAAGCTTACAGCCAAGACGCTGAAATCAGGAACGCCTCGGGTGCGGAAGGGGCTCGCTGTTTCTGAAGCTCTTCCATGGCTCCTCCTCCATCACTCCTCGTGCACCTGGGCGCGTATGGGGCCAAGAAGGGGCTTCGTTACTATAGTGCCTGGACTGTATCCTTCCAAGGCCCTTGCGCCCTCATCGCGCATCCTTAAGGCAGGGTCTGACTGTAGGCCTGCACAGAGCGGACAGTAGGAGCGCACCTCCGCCGCCCCTGGCAAGCGCCGAGGCAGAAGTGCTCGGGGCGCCCGCGCGCAGTCCAGACTGTGCCGCGGTGTGTCTCTCTGCGCTGCTCCTTGACAGGGAAAGGGTATGGGGGGTGTCCGCACTGTCCAGGGTCTTGGTATCGCTCGGGCGTGTGCACTCTCTCTCGGCGGGGATCACCAAGGAGCACCCTGGATCATCCTGCGAAAGAGCCGCGCACGAAACCGACAAAACACAGGAAATGGACGTCCGAGCGATGGCCAGGTGTGCGTCGCCGGTCGGGGGGGGGAGAGGGTGTGTATCAACAAGGGTCGACCAGACGTAGGAGTGACCTTGCGCCGGAGTGGCCGCCGGTGCGGGCCCAATTGGGGCCCTCCGATCGCCGAGCGCGGAGCGGTATGGCAGTTCTGGGCCACCCTGCGTCCCCCGTGCAGCCTCGCACCAGAGGTCACTCTTACGCATGGTCACTCTGGCGTGTACGGTAGGTTCGCGTCATGTCGACCGGCGGCGACCCCGACGCCGGCGTTCAACATTGAATGCCGGCGGAGGCCCAGAATCGGTCGATGTTGAACGATCGGACGTTACGGAAATGGCCGATCGTTCAAGGTTGAACGATCCCTGCGGTGTCAAAAACCAACGCTGGGGTCGGCACGACACGAACCTGCCGTAGTCGATACGGAGCGGTGGTAAATCCCTGCCGCGAATGGGAAGATTGGGAGTTGGAAGAGTAAACTCGCTAAACCACCTCCGCCCAGAGGGCTGGTGGGACAACAAAATATGTCTGCGCACTGCCTCTTTGCATACCTGTGCGTGTCTGTCGTGCTTAAAGCACGCTGCATGCTAATGCTCGGTGGGCCGAAAAGGCTCCAGTTCGCCATCAGTTTATGCAACGGCTTGTTCCAGAAGGTAGTGCCCTCCGCTGTCTGCTCACAAAGGCCCAATGGCCGCTGCGGACAGCGCCCGACGGCCTGATCGGAGGAGGAGACGGCGAACGGCGGCCTGCTGGACACGACATCTGCCAGCGGCGTGTGCTACTTTCACCTTCTGCCGTCGACCTCATCAATCTGCTCAGATTCGGGGGAGCGTAAGACCCGGGTTTGCCGGGACTCGGGTTCGCCATCGTTTTTTGACGACCGCGCCTCGGATTTTGACGAGGAGGAGTTTCGTGGGACGTCTGCAGCGGGAGGCCTCGTCAAAATGCAGGCTCGGCCTCGTCACTTTTTTGACGACCTCGTCGGGGATTTCCGAGTCCCCCGTACCCGGGTCTTACGTCTCCCCGACAGATATGTTCCTTCGTTTCTGTTGCAGCTGCTGTACGTTTCTAGTATCGTATGTAATTGCTCGTCCACGCGCTGCCCGGGCGGAGGATGTTGGACACACCGTTGCCGTCGTGATTGGTTTAGCAGCACATCGCCATGAGCGAAGCACCTGCCCGCTGATGTGTCACATCGCAGCACCAAGTATTGGTCAGACGTGGTTGTCATTTGGCGTCGTGAGTTTTCCAGTCTTTATCCGTTTCACTTTCGGATCCCAGCGTGAACTGCGGCAGGAGCTCGCGAAACGCCACCCCCATCTCGAAGAGAAGTGGAGGCTCCTCAACGAGCGGGTCAAGGAGGCGCGCGTGAGCCAGGCTCGACGCGGGGCAAGGGAGCTGGGGGATATGGTCAAAGTCCTGTCGCAAGGCACCCAGCAGACGCAAGGAGCTAAGTCCTCTTTGTCCCGAAGTTTGACTCTCGCTGCGTGTACATTCCAAGACATACGATGTATTGTTCTTTCGATGTGGGGTCCCCAGAAGTCCCGACCCTTCCCTCAGGGCCAGCGCGAGGGCTCCAAGAATCCGAAAATTGCCAGAAACAGTCCGTCGTGTTTTGTTCCACGACGCGAGTGCAGCATCCAGGTTACGCTTGCACCCCTGCCGCTCTGGCCCGTCCCTTTCCACATATTCTAAACACGTTGGCCTGACCTCGCTGCGATCTGTTTCCGCGTGGACGCCCAAGCGTCTTGCACCCTCACCTTGCAGATCTGCTATGCTATGACTCCGTTTCATTGTATGGCTCGAAGAAGAACAAACTAAATGGACGTTGACATGAACTTCTGGAGCTCCGCGCGGATTTCGTGGATCGGCGCTGGGCCCCCTGGCGGCGCCTCCAGCGCCACCCCTGGCGCGCTCCGCGCACCAAGGAGGGGGCTCCTGCGCCGATCCAAAAAATATCCGTGTGTACCTCCGAAGGCTTTCGTTCATGTTGTGTGTTGCGCCTGTGCTCCAGGCTCCTCCCTCTTCCCTCCACGCGCTCTGTTCCTTCTCGCCGCCATGCCTCCAATTCGCTCCCGGTGCACCCCGGCGCTTGCTGACCGGCGTCTGACTGTCTTAAACCACTTGGCGCCCGCGGACTTACAAAAAAGTTGTGTCCACTACCGTCCCTGAGATCCGACGTAACGACAATTAGCCTGACGAGGGACCCAACCAGATGCAGGTGCGAGTACCGCAATAGTGATTTACTTTTTCGGTGGCGATCCCTATGAGGCAACGAACCGTGCTAGGGGTGTGCCGACATGAGTGGCGTGGTACACAACGCGAACGAAAACGATTGATCTGAGTACGTAGGGAGACTAAGCGCGGGTGAATCTGCGCGCGTGCGTTTGATTGTGAATGAATTTGCGTGCGAGCGAGTGTACGTGCATGAATGCGAATATGACAAAGCGTGGTGCAATTGTGTATGAATGTCAATAGTTTGACAATGACTGCCTCTGAGTACTCGTGACGCTGGGCGTGGCCGCCGCAAGGAGCTTCCCCGGGACTCCCCGACGGTATCGCCCGCGCGCCGCGACGCCAATGTCGGCGCGCCCCCCCGCGAGGATCGCGCCCGCTTCCTCCCCTTCCTTTACTCCCTCTTTGCCCGCGCACTCAAAAGTCCAAGGCTGCGGGCGCAGCGCAGCGCGGAGTCCCCGCGACGCGCGCAGGTCGCCCCGGAGGGGTCCCAGCGACGCGCGCGGGTCGTCCACTGCGCGGAGCAAAGAGAGCTAGCTGGCTGGCTGATAGCGGGCAAGGCTCTTGCCGCTGGGCAGAGCGACGACGGGCGAGCGAGGCGCTGGGCAGAACGCAGCACGGAGCCCCCGCGACGCGCGCAGGTCGCCCCGGAGGAGTCCCAGCGACGCGCGCGGGTCGCCCGCTGCGCGGAGCAAAGAGAGCTAGCTGTCTGGCTGGGACCTGCGGTGGGGCCCCCTATGGGGCCACGAAACGCTGTACTGGGCAAGGGAGACGCATGCGGACTGCGCCACGGGGACCTTCGGTGGAGCTCCCTATGGGGCCACGGAACGTGTGAGGGGTGTGCCGAAATGGGTGTGCGGGACGCATGCGGGCACACCCACTGGGACCTTCGGTCGGGCTCCCTATGGGGCCGCGGAACGTGTGAAGGGTGTGCCAAAATGGGTGTGCGGGACACATGCGGGCACACCCACTGCGACCTCCGGTGGAGCTCCCTATGGGGCCACGAAACGTGTGAGGGGTGGGCCGACATGTGTGTGCGGGACGCATGCGGGCACACTCACTGGGACCTTCGGTGGAGCCCCCTTATGGGGCCACGAAGCGTGTGAGGGGTGTGCCGAAATGAGCGTGCGGGACGCATGCGGGCACACCCACTGGGACCTTCGGTGGAGCTCCCTATGGGGCCACGAAACGTGTGAAGGGTGTACCGACATGGGTGTGTGCGGGACGCATGCGGGCACACCCACTGGGACCTTCGGTGGAGCTCCTTATGAGGCACGAAACGTGTGAAGGGTGTGCCAAATGGGTGTGCGGGGCGCATGCGGGCACACCCACTGGGACCTTCGGTGGAGCTCCCTATGGGGCCACGAAGCGTGTGAGGGGTGTGCTGAAATGGGTGTGTGTGTGTGTGTGCGGGACGCATGCGGGCACACCCACTGGGACCTTCGGTGGAGCTCCCTATGGGGCACGAAACGTGTGAAGGGTGTGCCAAAATGGGTGTGCGGGGCGCATGCGGGCACACCCACTGGGACCTTCGGTGGAGCTCCCTATGGGGCCGCGAAACGCGTGAGGGGTGTGCAGAAATGTGTGTGCGGGACGCATGCGGGCACACCCACTGGGACCTTCGGTGGATCCCCCTATGGGGCCACGAAACGTGTGAGGGGTGTGCCGAAATGGGTGTGCGGGACGCATGCGGGCACACCCACTGGGACTTTCGGTGGAGCTCACTATGGGGCCACGAAGCGTGTGAGGGGTGTGCCGAAATGGGTGATGACGACGATGATGATGGTGGGAGGAGGAGGAGGAGGGGGAGGAGGAGGAGGAGGAGGAGGAGGAGGAGGAGGAGGAGGAAGAGGAGGAGGAGGAGGAGGAGGAGGAGGAGAGGAGGAGGAGAAGAGGAGAGGAGACGCGGGCCACCGTCTCTTCAAAACGAGGACCCAACACCACAGGATGGTTGGGAAAAAATGCACCATCGTAAAAAATCACGCCCGGAGCCCTGGATACCATCCTTCTGCGCCACGTTTCGAGCCAGATCGACCTGGGAGGGCCCCGGGGCCCGAAGCTTAACGAGAACGCCCGGGGTGACAAGTGTGCAACGCCCAGATCTGAGGGGCAGCTCTCCTGCTCAAGCCGCTCAGCGCCAGTGCAGCACGGGGTCTCCTCCTCCTCCTCCTCCCCTCCTCCTCCTTTTCCTCCGCCTCCCGCTCCTCTCCCCCCCTCCTCCTCCCCCCTCCTCCTCCTCCTCCTCCTCCTCCTCCTCCTCCTCCTCCTTCCTCCTCCTCCTCCTCCTCCTCCCCTCTGGCGCCCGCCATGGCGGCCGCCGGCGCCGCCGCCGCGGGGCAGGACGCCGAGGGGCCAGGCGCCCTGCTGCGGCGCTGGGCCGTGAGCCGCGGCGCGCGGGTCGTGCGGGCCCCAAGACTATATTTCACTAGTTCAAAACAGACGCCCAATCCCAAAAACGCGAGGGCCAAAACAGAACGCAGGCTCCCCGAGGCTTCGGGGTAGGAGATTTTGGGGCCTAGGGTTTTACCAGGGTGACAACGACGAACGCAAAACATATCCCGAAATCTTTGGACGATCTTCGAATCCTCGGTGAATCCGCGATTTTGGAGTTGGGGATGTGTTTTTTCTGGGTCAACATTCGGAAACTGGAACGTATACATTACCAGTGTCGGGTTGTTTTCTCAATCCCAGGACTTTTCGAGGATCGGGGACGACGTCGGGGTGGTGTGGTGTATACTTTTTTGCTGGGTTCCCAGGGAAGCAGCGAAGAATGTAAACACCAGGGTCCCGCATACACCAGGATCCGCTTCCCTGTGCAAATTTCAGTGCAGGGCCGGAAAAAACGTCGGTGTACAGAGTTCGGTTCCCTATATACACCATCGCCACATTTCCCAAGCGGTGCTTGCAGTGAAGGAGTCCTGGCGTGAGTTGAAAGATTTGGCGAACGTTCCCCGCCGATGTTGTTGGCCGGCTGGGTTCCCGGGTTCCCCGTTCGGGGTTCCAGGGTTTTTGGTTCTTGTTCCCGGGCCGATTTCGGTGGGTTGCGGGTTCGTGGGTTCCCGGTCGATCTCCATTGATTGGGTTTTTTCTCTGGTGTAATTGAAAGATTTGGCGAACGTTTCCCGCCGACTTTGATGGCCGGCTGGGTTCCTGGGTTCCCGGTTCTGGGCTCTTGGGTTCCTGGTCATTGGTTTTGGTCTGATTTCTGTGGGGGGTCCGGGTTCTGGGGTTCCCGGGTTCCCGGCCGATCTCTCCATCGATTCCCTAGAAAATAAGGGCGCGTAACCAAATCGTGCGCCAAAAACTATGTAATTCACAATGGTTTGTTGCCCACGCGTTTGTAATCAAATTGTCGTCTTGTAGAAGCGATTTCGCTGCAGAGTGGTGCCTTGTTTTGATTTGTTTGCGGGAAGATTGGTCACGAAGTGTATTTTAGTTATGATTTGGTTATGTAAACTGGAGATTTGGTTACGAGTTGGTTACGGTGCATCAGATATGGTTACGATTTGGTTACGAAATATGGTTACGATTTGGTTATGATCTAGTTACGATTCGGTTACGATGTGCGCGGTGCACCGCGAACGTCGCAACCAAACCGTAACCAAATGTGGCCCCCAAGTGGGGCGCATATGAAACACTGACCCCCGAACCACCCAAACCATTCATGGGGCTTCTTGCCTCGCAGCGCGAGGACGAGAACCTTGCGTTCGGGAGCGGCTGTGTGCGTGATCCCTCTGAAGGGCCTTGCGGGAATGGGGGTACGGAGGAGGAGGAGCAGGAGGAGAAACAGGAGGAGAAGGAAGAGGAGAAAGAGGTGGCAGATGAGGAGGAGGTTTTGGAAATTACGTTCGCTGCGCAACGCCAGGGCGACTAAAGTTGAGGAGGGGGAGGAGGAGAAGCAGGAGGAGGAGGAGGAGGTGATGGGGGGATGTAAAAAGGAGGAGGAGGAGGAGGAGGAAGAGGAGAAGGAGGAGGATGAGGAGGGCGGGGCAGAGGAGGAGGAGGAGGAGGAGGAGAAGGAGGCGGAGTGGCGGGGACGATCTGCACTTGATCTGGAATTCGCCGCACATCAAGATCGATGTACTCCAAAATGGCCCACGAGCGCCCCTAAAGCTCCCAAGCTCCAAGAGGGCTCCAAAAGG